TTCAATTATAGATATGGGTAATCTAAAATTAAACCCACTTCTTAGAAAATGGTGATTCCCTAGAGGGTTCTAGCCTAAAGGCGAATCAAACAAAACAAAAAGAAAAACTAAACCCTAGAGGGTTCTAGCCTCAAGGTGAATAGTATAAGAAATTAAAATCTAACTATAAAATAAATTACAAAATCTAAACTACAAAATAAATTGCAAAATCTAAACTACAAAATAAAATTATAAGAATTAAATGCAAGAAAATAAATAAGGCAAGAGGGTTCTAGCCTCTTGGCTATTTAACAAGAAAATAAAATCTAACTACAAGCATAGAAATAAATCTAAACTAATAAGAAATAAAAGAGAAAAAGAAAAGAAATACAAACCTTCAAATAATTTTCCATCTTCATCTTCATCTTCATCATCCAACAAAGAGAAGAAGAGAAAAATTTAAAGTGGTGAAAAAAAATATTATTATTAATTACAATAAAAGTTACAATTTTGTAAGGCCTTCTCAATTAAGAGTAGCCCTCCTCTCCAAAAAGAGTTACAAAAATTTTCACACTCTAACCCCTCACTCTCTACCCCTATTTATAGTAATCTTCAATGAATATGAGCCATTGGATTTGTCTTGAGCCCCAAGCAACAATCTCCACCTTTGATTTATTTGATTTTTAAAAGAAATTCAAAATCCAATTTGTAGCAGCACTCAAGTCCAAATCCGGAGAAGCCCATTAGATTTATCTTCACACAATGATTTCAAAACCAAACTCAGCAGCAAAGAAAACAAGTCCATTTCAGCAGTCCATTTCATTTACCAAGCCAAGAAAACAATGATTGCATCAAGTCCGGTCCTTGAGAAAAACTCCACATCTCCATTTCATTTACCAAGCTAAGTCCATTTCAGCAGCAAAGAAAACAATGATTGCATCCATTTTCTGCAGCCCAAGAAATTCAGTTTTCATTTGCTTTTGAAAAATCAAAAGCCAAGTCTTTGAGTTATATTCGGTCCACTTGAAATCCAAATCAAAAGCCAAGTCTTTGAGTTATATTCGGTCCACTTGAAATCCAAAACTGCAGCAACAAAATTCGGTTTGATGGGCTGGGCCTTCAAGCTCACTTGAATATAATGTGCAGTATGATGGATTAGGAATGTGCTTTTTTTTCTTTAGGCCAAGCTTGATAGGCTTCCAACCTTGGGCTTCTAAAATGATTTTTACAGGCAACGTGCAGACATGGCGGAGACCAGAGAATCATTTTGTCGAAGTTGCCTGAAATGATCCAAGTTCTTTCAATCATGGGCTTCTTTTGGGCTTTTGATCATTTTCCTCTTTTAAGCTTTTGCTGCATAGGCTTCTAAAATGCTACAAAATAGAGAAGAGAGATTTTTAGGGGTTTTTACATTTAATAATATTTATTTATATTTTTATTCAATTATGTGGAAACTAAGCTAACAACAATTATTAATGGTATATTTATTCATGTAAAATAGATAATGAGGGTATAAAATTGTAATAAAATGTGATTATCAATATGTGAGAGAAATCAAGTGGAAAAGACCAGCACACAAACAAACATGCACAAACAGGAAATTTCCTGTCCGGTCGACCGCGCTATAGTGGTGGTTGACCGCTGGGCTTGCAGGCGAGTAGAAAGGCTTTTGCTTCCTGTACGGTCAACCGCGACATGAGTGGAGGTCGACCGCTGAGCAGATTTTGAGTTTTTACAGGTTCGGGTCATGTTGGGTTTTGGGTCGGGTTTATTGATTCATATATATAGTTTTATGCCCGGGAGACCCTCTTATTCATCAGTTTAAACCCTAGCAGCCTTCTCCTTCCCTCTTACAAACCCTAACAATTTCTCCTTGGTGTTTCTGACGGATTTTGAAGAGTTTTAGCGGGATCCAGCGGCATTCAGCAAAGGGGAATCCTTTCCAGCGTTGTCAAGAGTTTGTCAATACCCCTCAGGCGAGTTTCATCTTGCTCAACCCTACACCCATGCTTTTAAACTTGTTTTCTAATGTTTTCTTGTGATTTCTGAGCCTAACATGCTATTTTATGTATAAAGATAAATTTTTATCTTACATATTGTAAGAAGAACAAATTTTCAGTTAATAAAGATCACTCACGAACTTCTTAATGCAAATCTAGATCTGAATATTTTTTTAACAAGAGTTTGAAAGAAAAATATTTGTTTTCGAAGGTTTCGACATGAATATGTATGTTTAAAAACGTTTTGATTTGTTTATAGTAATTAGATTGTTCTTCATATATTTTAGATATGCTAAATTACTCATATAGGGTTTCCTATATGCAAGATTAACATTTATAAGTTTGTGTATTATGCTAAATTACTCATATAGGGTTTCCTATATGCAAGATTAACATTTATAAGTTTGTGTATCATCTATCGCAGAACAGAAAACCTTATAGGGTTTCCTATATGCAAGATTAACATTTATAAGTTTGTGTATCATCTATCGCAGAACAGAAAACCTGTAGGAAGTTATATGTTCTTGCGTGGTCGACCGCAGATTTGCGACGGTCGACCGCTGGGCGTGCAATCGAGCAGAAACTTTCTACTCACTGCGCGGTCGATCGTAGGTATTTGGCGGTAGACCGTGGGACCTGTTTGCGCATGTACACATCTTTTGCATGCGGTTGGGTGGCTGGCGAGACACCTAGGTTATATGGGTTTGTTATACGCTGAGATTAGTGTACATGAGTTGACTACGGACATGAGTCTTAGATTTTATTTTCTGGGGTATGATAATGAATAGTATATATACTTTTACTTGTATATGTTTATTTTAAGATACTAGTCATATGCAGTCTATATGTTGGACACTTGTTTATTGCGACCCATATGTTGGACCTTAATCATGTAGTCCATACGTTGGACATTTACCTATTTCAGTCCATGTGTTGGACCTTCATCATATATAGTCTATGTGTTGGGCATTTATCATATGTAGTCCATGTGTTGGATATTTATCTGAGTTGTTTTATCTAACATATAGTAGATGAAGTCCATGTGTTGGACAAGTATCTGGCAATAGTCAGGATATCTTGATAGTATGGTTGGAAATGGAGTTATTGCTTCGCACTGTAGTTTGGATTTGATAGTTAGATATTTATAATTTGAGCTAATGGAGATGTATCTATGCTCGTGTTGTAAATTTCTAAATATCAGACTCCCACTTTATTTTATAGTCGATGATTTTGCTATCTATTATGTATTTATGGCTATTTTCTTATCCTTCTAGCCCTTCCCCCTGGGGTTGGTTGAGATGTTACTCGCTAGCGCTTGACGCTCGTTGTTTCCCTCCTTTTCAGGTAATGAGCCAGGTGCACGGAGAGCCGTAGGTTAATGGAGCTGCTCTAGTAGTTATTTATCTATATTATTAATAGTTATGTCAGAACTCCACAGTGGATGTGTTTATGAACATTTGAGTTATCATTTTAGTTTTATAAAGGCGATATGCCTTAATGTCATTTCATTTGAATTCCTATTGTGAGGCAGTTGTATCATCTCAGATGTTTTCTTCCTAGAGATTTGTCTATTTATATCAGTGGTATTGATTTTCTTCAGAGTATCTGTTGTTTAGTATTTCTTCTGTATATTTTCTCTTGCCTATTTCGTACCTACACCTATTGTTGATTGCACTAGATAGATAGTAATTGTGATGGTGAAACATGTTGTAGCATGGTGTCTGGTGTTTGGCAGGTTTGACATTCTTGCTTTCACCTTGGACTGCAGCCTTGTTAAAACCAGGGGCGTCACAAATTTGTTCCTACTTCTATTTTTTTCTTGATTCCATTTGTTTCTTTAAGTTTCCTCTTTGTCCCTTTTTCTTTTTATTTGTTTCCTCCTTATCCCCTTCTTGTGTCTTATTTTAGTTTTTTCTATTTTATGACAACTCCCTCTCTACTCACTTTATTTCGCTCCTCTTTGTTCACACATTTTTTAGGACAGAAATTAGAATCTCCAAAGACACAGCTTTCTTGTGGGTTTGACATCTAATTTCTGTACTATAAGTTGATAAGTTGTTCTCTTGCAACTTTGTCCATGTTTATTATGTGCTAATCTGATAGACACATAGGTTTCTCTCAAGCGGGCGAATGTCACGCCCATGATGTTTTAATCTTGGTTTGCTGGGCTTAGAATTTTAGTTTGTCCTCTGAGTCCATATCAAATGTTTGAAATCCCCCTTAGTACGGGTTTTGTAATTTTTGACCGCGTACAGGGTTAAGGAAATTTAATCCTTCATTAACTCCAAAAAAAAAACGCGAACCGTTTGTGGCCTGCATTTGATGTCTTAACTCATCTAATAACGAGTTAAGAATTTCATGTGAGACGACATAATGAATTTTGCCTGGGTGAGAACAACAGTTATTTTAGAAAATTGGAGACAGGGCAAATAATTTGCCAAGGGCAGATTTTGGTGGGAGAAACATGCAGAAAGCTATTTGAGGGAGAATGATTTAGTAGAAGAAAATTAGTGTCCCCCCATAGAACCCATCATAGGGGGGAATTTCTGCATTTCTTGTTTTCATCTCTCAAGTGTAATCATTAGAGCAAAGATCCTTAATATATGATATGCAGTACGAGGAGGAAAAATTGTGTTTGTTATGATTAGAAATTTTAAACTCCATGCAGCATTATTGAGAAATTTGTCAGCTGTATTATTTAGTAAATAACTATCTTTTAAGATTAATGATTAATCAAAGGACTTCTAAATATTTTATTCGATAACTCATATATCCCTTCTTTAACATTTAGTTTCATACTAATATGATAATTTATTTTTTTTAACGACAAGTATTATTACCTTTTTATTCCTCTGTAACCACAGGTTATGATAGTTCACAAATTCAAATTGAGTTTTACTAGCCTCTTCAACAATTATTTGTTTAAATAATACAAAATGAGAGTATTTTCATGGTTCAAATGAACGCAAATTCTAGTTACATTTATCTAGAGCCTTCTGTTTTCAACGGGTTGCTAGAATTTATCACTGAGGAGATCACAATCTTGTTCAAATTCAATACCTAGAGCCTTTTGTTTTCAATGGGTTGCTAGAATATCTTCAAGCTTCATAGCTGCACTTACTACGTCTCAATTCATATTTCAACAAAGGAGTGAATTTTACTTGAATAGTACTATCTCCATCACACATGTTCTTTCTGTATGCTAGCTTGCTATAAAGCATATGGATCAACTGAATGTAGATGACATTATTGATTAGACACCAGCTATATGTTTTATTGTGCCGCCCACATTCCTTCATCTTTGATCCCTGTACGTAGTGAATCCTTGTTTACCACATTTCGAGTACTATTAACCATTTTGAACCACTGGCTCTGAGGATCACATGCTTTATCTTTGTTCAGGCACTTGCATGGATTTGTGACAATAGTAGTACCATCCGAGCCAACATCCAAACACAGACTGCTACTGCTAGCAGTTAGCTTCGTTGCGATATGCATTTTGGAGTCTGATATCGCATCCCACTTACAACGAGTATCATTGCAAATAGCCGCGACCTTTGCGTTCTCACTTTCACCATCAGCTTTTAGACACATTAATGTACCCTTTAGTGACAAAGTGTGCTGTTCTGAGTAGGTCCAGGCTGCCGATTCATCGCAGGAGCCTAATTGTAATGTTTCAAGCAAAGATTTTCTAGTTGCACATAAGCCAGTTAATGGATGAAAGAGTATAATATAAGGTGGAACATCTGCAAGACCCGGACCTGCGTCGTAAATTTGAAACCAATGTCTTAGTCCCTAACATTGTAGCATTCGTGTTTGAATTTGAAAAAAATAATTTTGATTCATACCTCTGAATGGAGATTGGAGAGTTGAAATCCTTTGTAAGAAGCTAGAATTTCGTGGCTTACACCAATCCCAAGCTAAAACCCCATACACTTCATCTAAACCAAGCACTCCTTGTCTTAGGGAGTAACTCCCTTGCAAAGTCCAAAGTGCCCAATCCAAGTCCAAGTCAGCTACAACCCCAAGAATGCACCCCAAGTATCGGTTATCATTAACATTACCTCCTCTTTGATCAACACCGAACTCACTTAAGAACAATGGGTATCCTTGGTCTAATAGGAAACCGGCCCTTCGCATAACATTGGCCTTCACTGAACCACAAACTTTGTTAGGGTTCCCTTTAGCCCAGGCCTGCCCATCGGAAAACCCATACCAATGAAACTCGAATACCAGTTTCTCGGTGAAACTTAGATCTACTTGCTTATTTGAGAGGTAGCTCAAATCATTATCAAAGCTCAATCCAGATAATATAACAAGAACGTTGGGATTCATTGAGTGCACTGCTTCTGCACCCTTTTCCATGTACCTGGTTCGTATGATTAGCGATATTAGAATCACAGAAAAATCATGATTCGCAATATAAGAAAGGATTATTTGTGGATAGGCTCCCTTACTATCGCCACATCGAATTAACTATCCAAGTGGTTCTATTGTTTCAGATAGGCCCGTGACTGAAAATTTATTGACCCACTTCCAGTCTATTTGCAACAATAGATTTTCACTCTAGGGGTTCTATCTGTGATAATAGAATTCTTTCAGGTGGTCCATCTGCAACCACAGAACTGTAAGGGTAGTAAATTCAATTTGGCGGTAGCACTACAAGAGGTCTATCGGCAATTAACCCTATAGGAAGTAGCAAACTAGGTCTATTACCTGTACCAACTAATGACATTTTGCCTGGGCCCTCTAAGCTCATTTCTTAGGCTCATCCCAACTACGTTAGCAGACCCATTGAAGATTGTTGCCATTTGGGTCAGCCCCTTAATCCATACGTCTGGGTCAAAGTACTTATCTCCAAAGAAGCCGTTGCCATCAGAGTTACTACAACACCATCCTGGTTTGCTTATATGGTTGTCTAATATGACCATAATACTGTTTTCAGCTAGGTTTGCTACAACGGCCTGCATGTTAGAAAGTATCGAGATTATGACTAAAAGAAATGATGACGGCAGTCAATAGCTACCGCTTTAAGTTCAACAAGTGACCTGAACTTTATTACTTGTGGAGTTAGAAGTACATGCATGGTGTTTTGTCTCGCTTGAAACTACCTGTTCAGTTGAGAATTCAATAGGGCCAACTCATTGTTGGTACAGCCAGGCTGGCTCGAATTCAAGTAGTTTTAAAGGGATGGGGTTCGAGTTGGGATATTAAAACCCAAAATTAATTGAGTCATAGTTGAGCCAATTGTTTGCTTTATTATATGAGATTGAGTTAGCTTGATGTTGATAAGATTATGATAATTTCTCTCACATAATCATCACAGAGAGGAGATAATCTATGTAACTAAAGTAAAGTTTATCATGGTTTATTATTATACAATACAGTATAATATACTTCGGTCACTACTCTCTTAATTCCAGATTTGGAGATGGCTAGATTGATTATTTGATTGAAATCCTATGCTGGATTGCAAGTGAATGTGAATTAATACAAGACCAAAACTTTAACCATAGCCGACCTCCCTCCCTCCATCCCTCGAGCTCAGAAAGGCCATAGATAGTCACCTCCACCAACGTCAAACCCAAGAAACCTCTGTTCTTCTCCAACCAGTCAAACCAACTACTTTACTTGCAGGCCTAGCTAACCTCCTCAATTAGGATCCTGTCAGCCGCTCTTTGTTGACAAAGGATAGTTAGGCACAGAAAGTTGCCGTTTTTTTAGAAAAATGAAAAAGGTGGTGGGTCCCGTCGGGTCCTACTAATAAAATATAATTAGTGACGGGTCTCATCAATAATATTTTATTAGTGCATAGTATTTTCCCAAATACTTTAAATAGGGCCTTAAACTCTTAAGGAAATCTCATCCCAGAAACAACTCCTCTTATAGAAGAGTAAGAAAGAAAACACAGAGAGAGTTTGTGAGAGTTATTGGAGTGTATCTGATCAAGAAGGGTGTTCTTTTTGATCTATTCTTTTGGGATATAAAAAAATTTGGAGTCGTCGTTGCACCGTGGAGTAGCCCTGAAGGAGTGAACCACGTATATCTGTGAGTACTGTGTTTAATATTGTGTCTTTATTCTATGTATTACGTCTCCGTTAGAGGTGTTATTGTTGGTGTGTATCCTAACAACTGGTATTAGAGTCTGACTTAGAGTATATATATCTGCTTACCGTATGCTCTGTAGCTGCCACTAAAAGTGGATGTTCCACATCAGAAAATAAGTTAGATTATTATTTACTCTTTTAAGTCACTGGACACTATTCACATACGGTACTATTCACAAATACGGTTCGAGAAATACGTAATCTTTCGCCATGGGATCAACAGTTGAAGGCAACAGGTTTCGAATTGAGAAATTCGGCGACCAAAATTTTAGGTATTGGAGGATGCAAATAGAAGACCATTTGAAGCAGAATGATCTCTTCCTACCCCTCCAAGGAGAGACGGGGAAACCTGAGAAAATGGACGACGATAAATGGAAGGTGCTCGATCGTAAAATACTTGCCACCATCAGGCTCAACCTTCACCAGCATGTGACTTACAACGTCTTGCATGCGACCACCACCAAGGAGTTGATAGAGGCCTTGGAGGCGCTGTATGAGAAGCCGTCTGGTTCAAATAAGGTGTACCTGATGAAGAAGCTGTTCAATCTAAAGATGCAGCAATGAGCTCTCATGGAGGACTTCTTGAACGAATTTCAACATGTGGTGCAACAACTTGCTGCAGTAGATCTCAAGTTCGACAATGAGTTCCAAGCTCTTCTGTTACTTTCTTGTCTACCAGATTCGTGGAAGAATTTGGTGATAGCAGTGAGTAACGCTAATGGCAATGACAAGATGAAGTTCGACACAGTGGTTAGGGCAATTCTCGATGAAGAATCTCGCCGCAAAGTCTCCGGAGCTGAGGCCTCTAACAGTGGGAGTGCTCTACATGTCGAGGCACGAGGGCGTGCGCAGAAGAAGGGTAGGGGACAACAAGGCCAATCAAAATCCACATGAAAGTCTAAATGGCCAAACCCGAATGGTTATAGTGAAGGGAAGTGCTTCAGGTGTTGAAAGAAGGGTCACTTTGAACGGGACTGAAGAGTTTCTATTCTAGCATCAGCAATGGATGATCGGGCTGACGGTACAGCCAATCTCATGCACGAGACGAATTTAGATGCATTCTCCTATCCTTAGAAGATAAAAGTGATGCGTGGGTAAGCGGCTCTGGCGCATCTTTCCATGCAACCTCACAAAAAAAGCTCCTTTCATCGTTCGTGAAGAAGGACTTGGAGATAGTCTATCTTGGTGATGATCAACCTTGCAAGGTTTCTAAAAAATTGAAACCCTAATGTTATTACTCCATAAGATGGGCTTATATAGGCCCTTACAATACAACTTACAAATAACACCCTATCTATTACTAATATATTAACACTCCTCCTCAAGATGAGCGAAAGATATCTACTAAGCCCATCTTGTCACATCCTCTAATCATATCTACTAAGCTAAGTCCCTTAGTCAGACAATCTGCTGCGTGATCCTTAGTTGGAACATGACTTAACTCTAGTAGTCTATTGTCCAACTTCTCTTTGATGAAGAACCTATAGATCTCGATGTGTTTGGTTCTGTCATGCTGCACTGGGTTGGTGGCGATACTGATGGTAGACTTGTTATCACACCACAGCTTCATCTTGGCTCCTTGATCCAGCTTTAGCTCTACAAGCATACTCTTCAACCATAACAACTCTGCAACTCCCAAGGCCATGGCTCTATACTCTGCTTCAGCTATTGATCTCGTCACCACTGACTGCTTCTTGCTCTTCCACGAGACCAAATTGCCTCCTATAAAGATGCAGTATCCTGAGGTGGACATCCTGTCATCAGCACAGCTAGCCCAATCCGAGTCACAGTAACCCTCAATACTCATATGTTAATTTTTTCTGAATATCAGCCCTTTTCCGGGGGCACTCTTTAAATACCTCAGAATCTTGTATATTGTGTCCATATGACCCTTCCTTGGATCGTGCATGTAGCGACTCACCACGCTCACTGTAAAAGAGATATCGGGACGTGTGTGACTCAGATAGATCAACCTGCCCACCAGCCTTTGGTATCTGTCACGATCAACTGGTTCTCCAGCTTCAGCACCTACCTTGAACTTCTGGTCGATCGGTGTAGTTGCAGGTTTGCACCCTAACATCTCTGTCTATTTGAGAAGATCAAGTGCATACTTTCTCTAGGATAGGACGATCCCCTCCGCTCCTCGAGCTATCTCTATTCCAAGAAAGTATCAAAGCAAGCCAAGATCTTTCACCTCGAATTCCTTACCCAGTCTCACTTTAAATCCCATGTGCAGGATGAATGTTGGAATATGATACAAGCTGGGCAAGATCCCAACCATATCTATCGGGAGGATTTCCCGCATTACTACGAGTAGTCCTTCGTACTGATATTGGTGTGGGAGGAGTAGGGAGAGGAATGTTATCACCTTGGGATGAATCTGATGGTGGAGTAGGTGTCTCAGGAGTCGGGGCAGGCGTTGGCAAGAGACTTGGCAGCACTAGTGGTACTGTAGGTACTGTTCCTATAATTTGCTTCCCCTTCCTACTATAGGTTAGTAGCTCCCCCTGAACCGTGGGCCTAACAACTCTTGTCTTATTTTCTTTTTCTTCTTTATTTTCCTGCTCCTCCTCAACCAATTCTTCCTCCCAAGGAATCGGAATCGATACAGAAATCGATTTCTCCACATTGTTCACCGATCTCTCATCATTCTCCTCCTTTCGCCTCATACTTCTAGTATTAGGCGAGTTACCAACGGATGAAGTTACCTTCTAGGTGTAATATGGCTCGAGTTCTCTAAAGTGCACATCCATGCTCACAAACAACCTTTTCTCCACCGGGCTCCAGCAAACATATCCCTTCTGAGTAGCAGAATATCCCACAAAGATACACTTCACAGCTCTAGGGGCAAGCTTCCCGACGGATGGCCTGTTGTCTTCACAAAGCACACACAGCCAAACACTTTAAGTGGAAGAATCCCACCATTATCTCCCTTCAACGTCTCACACGGAGACTTCCAATCCAGCACTCTCGAGGGCATTCTGTTGACTAGCGCTGCTGCGGTCAATACTGCTTGCCCCCACAATGTTTCTGGGACATTCATAGAGATCATCATGCTTCTAACAACCTCTAAAAGATGTCTGTTCTTCCTTTCCGCTATGCCATTCTGAGCCGGTGTGTATGGACATGATGTCTGGTGTTGTATTCCCTAATGACCCACCGCACCGCAATTGTAGCACTACCGAGTCTCTCCCCTGGATCCAGTATTGCTAGAGGCTGCCAGTGCTGACTTCACCATAGGAAGTTCACTTGTCTCCGCCTGCAGCCTAATGCGAGTCTCCTCCTAGATCATAGCAGAGACAGCTTGCTCAAGCGTGGGAATCTTCGAATGAGCTAGCAGCAATGCAATTCGCTGAGCGAACTCTGATGTCAATCCCTTGAGAAACACCATAGTCCTCTCATGTAGAAAGGCCTCCCGTTCTTTACATCCCGGGTCCTTGCAGCTCGCTCGAGGTAAGAAGTGATCATAATTTAGCCACAGACGCTCCAGCTCTGTGGCATACTCCTGTACAGTCCTCTATCCCTATACTGTGACATCGATCTCTCCCTTAATATGGAACACCCTCAGGTTATTCCTTACTCCATCATAGGTCCTCCTCAACTTCTCTCAGATGTCCTTCACCTTCTCAATGCCGTCAACTGTGGCGGCGATCGACTGGACCAATGAGTTGAGGATCCAGATATACACCAACATGTGAGTGGACTTCCACTCATCTCTTCCTTCCGAGTCCTCATCCAGCTTTGTCGCCGCTCCTGTCAGATAACCCTCCAGGTTCCTCCCTACAAGGGTGTATATCACCTGCCGTGACTAGCTTAGGTACGTACTCGGTCCATCCAGCTTCAGATCGATGGTCGGA